TGGGGGGGGGCGCTCTGTGGCTTGCGGAAATTTTCGTCCGGCAGCGCTTTTTTTCAATTTCTGTGTGTTTTTATTACTGTGCTATTCGCTTGTCGACAGAGAGAGGCGAACTCACCTCCATCAGCAGTGTCGCATCAAACACGGAGATCGTTTACGCTTGTGTTTTGAGTTTTCGGATTTTTTGTTTTTGTTCGTCTTTTGTTTGTTTTGTTTCTGTGGTTACGTGGCGGCTCTCGTGGCTTTCATTTTCATTGTCATTTGCGGATCACATCATCGCATACATATCCCCATCTCGCACTGGTTTATTGTGCACCCTTTTCTAAATACCGGATTATTCCTTCCTGTTTCAGAACGGCCGGTGGAACGGACTCATCGCCGACCTCATTAACCGCAAGACCGACATGGTCATGACCTCACTCATGATCAACTCGGAGCGCGAGGGCGTGGTGGACTTCACCGTGCCCTTTATGGAGACAGGCATCGCCATAGCGGTCGCCAAACGCACCGGCATCATCTCCCCCACCGCCTTTCTCGGTGGGTGCCCCCCCCCCCCCCCCCCCCCCCCCCCTTTTTCTGGGGGGCCCCCCCCCCCCCCCCACTCGTGGAGTATATCGACCTGCGCGAACGACCAGCTAACGACCTTCTTAACGTGCTCTCTCCCTATTGCAGAACCCTTCGACACGGCGTCCTGGATGCTGGTGGGAGTGGTGGCCATCCAGGCAGCTACCTTCACCATATTCCTGTTCGAGTGGTTGAGCCCCGCTGGGTTTGACATGAAGGTGAGCACCATGCGGGACCAAGGGGTCCGGGTTCGGCTATTGAATTGGTTAATCTGCGCAGCAAGGAAACACGTGGCGAAGCCGCATGACTCGACTCTGCTGGTGATTGTGAGCCTGCGGGAGCCTGCGGCCCGCGTGCCGTCCAAACATTTAGGAGGATTTGGTCCCTCCCGACTCTACGCCCCGCACGGCCAGACCCCAAGGGCCAGCAAGCTCTCCACTCCTCATTCTGATGGATGGGTGTCCTTCCTGTCTGTGAGGATCAGGCCCACCCTCCTCCCCACCCTCTTCGCCCCCCTCGCCCCACCCGATAGGGAGTGACGTCACCCACACGTGACCCGGCGTCAGAACCACTTTGGCTAACTCTGTTGTGAAAGTGTTCCAATTACGTTTGGAACACTTTATAATTGAATCGTTAAACTTGTGCACCCTGCCACTACCTGCTGCCGCGCAAACAATTATACCGATATCTTGCCGCGTACCCACCCTTCCCATCCCCAATATTTGTACGATCGCGAATGTATCGCCTGATGACTTGGGGGTGCCCGCCCAACTAAGGTAGACAGAGGTACGCAGACCTGGTAATCGCTGTCAATCAGTAGTAATTCGCAGACGCTTGAGGTACTTCTTAAAATAGAAATGTGTTGCTCAAGATATGCATTTTTCTTTAAATCTTGGCTGAAATGCATACGTCCATATTAAAAATAACAAATTTCTGCATCTCTCGCATGATTGGTAAAATATGTGTAAAATTTGTGACTCAAAAGATTAAGAGTCACCACTGGTAGAGATGTGCACTAAAATGCTTCTTGCTCGCGACCTAAAATGGTACTTAAGATTTAGAGCAGGATAGTACCTAGTACTTATGGGAAATATTTGGTAATGTTTCGCTTTAGTACTCTCGTTTCGCTCGTAACCAGGTCCATATCATAAGCCACGGCCTCAATTTTGTCACAGGTGACGCCAGCGGCTAACCATCGCTTCTCGCTGTTCCGCACGTACTGGTTGGTGTGGGCGGTGCTCTTCCAGGCCGCGGTGCACGTAGACTCACCCCGTGGCTTCACTTCCAAGTGAGTGCACTGCAAGCCGCGTTAGGCTGGACAAACGGCCCTTGACAGCCTTCTCGGAGGGCTGGTAAATTTGTGTGTGTGGTTTCCCCCCGAAAAGTATAAGTGATGCCTCTTTTTCCGTAGGTTTATGACCAATATGTGGGCCATGTTTGCTGTCGTCTTCCTCGCTATATACACTGCCAACCTCGCTGCCTTCATGATAACCAGAGAAGAATTTCACGAATTTACTGGAGTCGATGATTCGAGGGTATGCGACTACTTCAGCATCCAGGAAAGACGGTTCTTGTGACAAGAAATGTTCTTACGGAATCAAGAACAGATCATAGTACCAAGGTAAATGTGTCTTGGCACGACGGTCTGTTCTTGATTCCTCAAGAACATTTCTTGTTACAAGAGCCAGCTTTTCTTGGCGGAGATTTTGAGGCAAACAACTACCATAAACAAAACAATCCAAGCTTTCTAAAGCAAAAGAAAAAAAATTGAAAATTTTCTCGTGGTTTCCAGCTCAGCAAACCATACAGCCATAAGCCAATGTTTAAGTTCGGCACCACACCTTTCTCGCACACGGACTCCACCATAAAGCGATACTTCGCCGACATGCACGCCTACATGAGGAAGTACAACCGGACGTCCGTGCAAGAGGGCATCGCGGCCGTGCACAGTGGGTGAGCAGCCAAAGGGAGACCTCGGATGGGAGTGTAACAACCACTTTGGTGCAAGGGTGAATTCATTTAATTGGTCTCAAACCTGCCCGCCATATATGTAGTAAAAAGTGAGAAATACTGGCGGAATAGACCCGAAAAAATGGTGAAATAGTCAAAAAATCAGTTCTGCGAAATGGTGCGAAATGGTCCAAAATCACCGTAATGGAAGGGGAAATACTACGAAATTGCTCGCACATTTTGTACCCTAGTGACTTCCTACCAGCCGTGGTACGCGCGCCACAGTACTCCCTACCAACTAACCGCTCTGTTGGCGAGAGCCGAGGCTGGAGTCTCCTCGAGGAGACGAGGAAGATCTTCCTCTTAATCTTACTAGGTAGATTTACGCTAGACCACGTCTCGCGTAACAGGCTTCGCGATATCCCACGAAACACTGTTACACTGCGACGCGCCTGGCATACATCTACCTAGGCCTGCGACGCTGACACCCGAGTCGGGCTAAAAGCACATTCGTAAATAGGCCCTTGGCCCCAAAAGTCACAATTTTGCTACCTAGGGTTTTACTTTTGACGAGTAAACCACACCGGAGACCACAAATTATCTGAGAAAAACAAAACATTAAAATGTTTTGGGGTCATTCCCGTGTCGAAAACTCCCATTGGTGCCTAAACTGTTAGCGATTGAGCCAAACGGATGAAAGTTTTGCCCTTTTTGTTCTATTTTGACGAGTTACCCTTAAGAAAATCGTTAGCAAAAAATTTAAAAATTAGCAATATTTTCCCAATGCTTTCTAAATAGCTCGGTCTCAGCCAATAATTTCTGACTTTCAGGGCTCAAAACCAATACAGTTCTTGCTTCTTATGAAACAAAGTGACCCTGAAAATTTGAACTTTCTAGCTGAACCCGTTCTCGAGTTATCGTGAGGACAGACAAACGCGAAACTTTTTGATCATCACTGGAGTAATAGATTTTGCCAATTTCTTAGCCAACAATGTCCTTCGCCCCGCAGGGAGCTGGATGCGTTCATTTACGACGGCACGGTGCTCGACTACCTGGTTGCCCAGGATGAGGACTGCCGGCTCTTAACAGTGGGGTCGTGGTACGCCAAGACGGGGTACGGTCTCGCCTTCAGCCGCAACTCCAAATATGTCCAGATGTTCAACAAACGACTCCTGGACTTCAGAGAGAACGGTAAAACGCGAAGAATCCTGAGCAGCGGCTGTGTTCTCTGCGGACAGACTAGTGCTGAGCCTGTTGTTACTGCCGCAGGTGACCTGGAGAGGCTGCGGAGGTACTGGATGACGGGGACTTGCAAGCCAGGCAAGCAGGAGCACAAGACCAGTGACCCGCTCGCCCTGGAACAGTTCTTGTCCGCCTTTCTATTGCTCATGTCCGGCGTGCTGCTGGCTGCCATCCTGCTCTTCTTCGAGCACATCTACTTTAAATACATCCGCGTCAAGTGTGCCAAAACGGACCAGGGTGGCTGTTGCGCGCTCCTCAGTCTCGTGAGTCAAGTAAAACCTCGTTCCAATCTTTTTCACTCTTCTTTCCTCTCTTTACTCTTATGTCGTGGTCGGCAGAGTCTGCACTGCTCACGGAGCGCGATCAGATGCCCCACCCGTCACATTTACATTGCAAATATTCCCCAACCGCGACCAAGCGGTGACTTGCCCAAATTGTCTCCTGCCTAAGCACATCACCCAAAATCAAGCTTCAGGGTTCAGTCATTAATTAAGCTGAGCGCAGCGATGACTGTCGTTCTTTTCTTGTTTGCGACCGTAGTGCCCCTCTGTGCCAGCCGCCTTTCTGTTGCCCTTGGCCCCTAATGATCTGCTTTGCGTCCTCGTGCGTGGTGCAGACTCCGTTCCACTGTGTGGTAGACGTCGGCCTCTTTATCACGGCTACTGAAAGTTTGTCCATCGTGTCCAAAAAAATAACAACTAATGCACCGAGTCAAACAACTAAACTTAAACTAATTTGATTCGCTGGAGGAGATGCTAGTGTGGACAAACTTCCGCCTAAACGAAAAAGAGAATGAATAAAAGCGATACGGTAGAGATAGACTTAACGTTAAACGTAAAAAGAATTAGCCAGTTTATTTTCAGCGCTTTTCCTGCCTGTATTTCTCCGAGCGAGCTGTCATTCCTTGTCCTTCGTGCAGGCCTGTGTCCAGTAGCCTCATAATCCTCGGTCTTAATGGTTTCTTCATTCGCATCACATTTTTGCGGCAAAAGTTGCTCCGCCCCATCCTGCGCTTGGCAGACATCTATGTCTCTCTTTTCTATCTTGCTTCTTATCTGTCTGTTCTCTAACTTTCTCTTACCACTCGGCTCTCAGTTCTCTCCCTTTCTCCCCATCCTCTCCTTTCCTTTTCCTTCTTCCCTCACTCTTTACGCCGTGATTGCTTTTTTGCTTGCAGTCCGTTTCGGCTGCCCCATAACGGCAGTTTGTTTGCCGAAGACTGCCAATTTTCGCCTTTTTGGCTTCTTAAGAGATGAAAAAAATCAATTTTAAATTCACAGACACAACAAAGAAGCCTGCAATTCGCAGTTCTAAAGCGACCACAACGTTCAGATTGCCCCTCCCCCATATCTTTTTGTCTGCTATGTCAGCCAATCTCTCAATCTCCGTCTTTTCTCTGTTTCCAGCTGTTTTCTTACTTTTCGTCTCTCTACCAGTTCGGTCTCAGACATCTCTCTTAACTCATCCCTTTTATGTGCCTCCTCCTACATCCCTTGTCTTCTTCTCTCCTTTCTACCAACCAACTTCAAAAGTCAACCACAATTTATGAATCTTAAAGTACGAGATGAAACTGAATGCCGGACTAAAATTCCGTCTTTCCAACCATAATAAGTATCGAAACTTTTTTGTACCACCTGTCTCTAGTGCTCAAACACTACTTCTAAACCATAAATAAGAAAAATATCACAAATTGAAAAAGCCAGGGCAGGACCACGCGCTTAAAACAAGAGTAAGATCAAAGTTTGGCCTTAGTCTACCAGACCTGACCACACACATAACACTAGCACTCTTTCACCCACACCCACTCATCCTAACCTACGTGACAACCCGGGAGGTAAGAAAGATGTAGCTAGTCTGTAGACAGTGCATTGCACTTCGCATTGCACACTTTTAAGACCTCACGAAGAAAAATGCCAAATTCTTCATAGGTACGAAGGATTTGGCATTTTGCTTCGTAAGGTTTTAACTGTGCACGCATGTAAGACTCAAATGCACCCGCTTACAGCGTTTTGTATACTGGGGCAACGTAAAAGCGACACATCTGTTTTAAGACCCGGGATGCTCACCGCTGAACCCTTTCTGAGGAAGTAAATGAAGCAATACTTTATCTAAATGTACCAATTTTGATATCCCCCTTTTAACTTTCCTCTCTTTTTAGCCAGCCCTTCTGCTTTGAAAAAGCTCCGGAGCGGTCTTACGAATCCGCTCTCGTGTCCGTCTGTCCACGGAGAAAAATGACTTTGTTCTGGGGATCAGTTCTATTTGGTAGGCTAAATACGATAGCTGGAATCGAGAACCCGATACTCACAAGCAGGAGTTGGTTGTCACGACCGGACACTTGTACGAATAGAACCAAGCTGGAGTTTGTTCTATTCGTACAAGTGTTCGGTCGTGGCAACCAACTCCTAGTTTTGGGTATCGGATTCTTTATTCCTCGTATCGAATTTAGCCTACCAAACGTAATTGATCTTCACAACGAAGTCATTTTTTTCCCTGTCAGTCTGCGGACGACGGCGTTGTGGTACTGATCTGAAATTTTCACGGTACCTCGAGGGTCGGATGGACAACGATACGCCTAGGGCAAATCCTGGCAGCCACCACCTGCTTTATAAATGGGGATACATTTTTTTTCCCAAGGAACAATGGGGCCGCAGGCCCGTCCAAAAGCCTAAGATAAGGAAAGAGTGACGAGTGACTTTCTAGATCGTGCCGTCAGACTGGCCAAACGCTACCGGCAGGCCAAGCAGGCCTGCCGCATGGAAATAAAGTATGTTGAACTGTTACTTTAATGTGTACTTTCAGAAAAGTATACATAAAGCATACTTAAATTCTAGCAGATTATGGGACGCTACACTTTTCTGGCACTTTTGGCATACTTTTTGGTAAGTCACATACTCCCGTGAAAAACTTTATACCGCCTTTTCGTCGAACAACAATCTCCTTTGAAAGACAAAACAAACGAAATTGGTTCGAAAACTATACGACATAAAGACGAAATTTCGACGAAATAGCAGTCGATTGGTGACCGAACGTTCGTCTCTGTCTGGTCGCTGTTCGATCGCGTACTCGTCGTCCAGTGCGCCTGAAAGCAACGAAACGGAGACGAAACTGAAACGTGGCAGACACGAATAAGAGACCAATTGGAGATGAGAGAGGTGAAAGAAAAAAATTTGGGATGTTACCGGGGAGTGAACCCCTGACGTCAGGCTGGTGTGTGAGCACCCAGCTCACTCGGCCATCTCCATCCCTATCTTTTGATTTTGAGCGAGGCTCGTCAAGAACGCGATGCTTCGTCGCCCTTCCATCGCAGGAGACAACTACGCGATGGATCAGCGATGAGTTGGCGATGAATCAGCGACCAGCCGGAAACAACCTCTCTGTCGCACATTGACTGTCATTTCGTCTCATCGTCGTGTTCTCTTCACTTTTTCCTGTTTCATATCTCATGGGAGACGAATGTTCGACGAAACAGCGGTATTAAGTTTTTCACGGAAATTTCTATGCGGTTTGTCTCTGCCGAACGGTGTTGCCTGCGGAGCGAAGTGAAGCCAGCAACTCCGTCTTACGGAATTGCGGGCAAGTGCGGGCCTGCCCGTTTTCAATCGCAACGTACATTATGGTCGTGCTACGGACAATCTTCCGGTTTTCTTCACACTTCACAATTGAGCTGTTTTCACAATGGTCGCTTGTTCACTTACACACTACACTATGCCACCTTATATCTCTTCTGTGTTATCTAGTCTTGTCTATCTAGCTTGACGGTCTTGCACATTTCTTCGTTTTCATCTTCCCCTTTCTCTTTATCACCGTGACGAGCATGCAGTATTCTTGTGAAGAGTATCCGGGACATGTCTCATCCATTCTTCTTGTCTGTTTGCACATGTACCGGGTGTAACTGTGAATGCGATGCAGTGTTGCGGGTTTGCCTACTCTTTACACCCGCAAGGGGCCATGCCCCCTGCGGCCATATTGAGTATGTAATCCCGCAATACCAGCGTATTCACAGTTACACCCGGTATTTAGAGTTGCTAGATTGACTTGTGGCTACAGCGTCCATCACGTGGTATGGCACGTCTTCACCGTTTGTTTATTCACTTTTCACCAATTAGTGGAATCTTCCACCATTACAGGTTTCAATGTGTGATGCATGTCTGGTTGGTCATTAATGCTTGTGATGAAAAGTTGTTTCACGTCTGAATATTGCTTTCACTTCGTGTTTTGTCTACTTTGTTGTAGTCACTTTGCAGCCGTAAAAATTGGAGCCTCAATACATATTTTTTCAATATATTTTAATAAAGTTGATTTGGTTGATTTGGTTTGGCCACGTTTTCTCTAACAAATGTATTTTTCAGTGTACGTGCTCATAGGGTAGGAGCAGATTACTTTAGTGTATAGGACAACAAAGATATTTCTCGATTCTGGCAACGGTTGGCAGGATTAAAATGGCGAAGAACTCGGAGCAAACCTGCTTGTAGACGGAGAGCTACTGTCAGTGTTGTTGGTTCCATGTGTTGATGGCCACCTCCGTTTGCAGAGCATGGGCAAATCGCTCACCTTTCGAGGCGCCGTGTTCGAAGCGCAGGACATCCTGCGCCACCACCGATGCAAGGACCCCATCTGCGACACCAACCTATGGAAAACTCGGCACGAGCTGGACCTCACGCGCCTCAGGGTGCTGCAGCTGGAGCGGACTTTAGACGCGCACGGCATTAAGCCACCCGCAAGGTGAGTGAGAGCCGAGAGCTTACCCTGCACCTCCGGCGATACCCACTCCCGCGGATGGGGTATTGCTGGCGCTGCGGCAGAGTGGGGTATCGCTGCTGCGAGAACTTCCCTCTCCCTCATGCAAATAAATCTGCGCTGCCCACTCCCCCCCTCCCTCTCACCCACACTTGATTTCTCTTACATCGACACTAACGTCTTTCCTCTCTTGCCGCAGGCACATTAACGCCCCGCACGCAGGTGTGCTCATGTCGCGGGATATGACGAGGAACCACGTGTTCAACAACGAGTTCGGCGCGCGCTTCTACAGGTGAGCTGGGTGAATGCCCCTCCTATTGTGTCAGCTTACTGTGATTCGAGGGTGGTTTCCTCCGCGTTACAGGCCAGACGAGCGCGAGGTGCAAGAGATGGAGACGGTTCTGTGATAGTCGCGGGCTGTGACGCCACCCGTGGTGCAGCGGGCGCATCCTGGGCCGTATCCGGCCGACTCCCCCATCCACTTGGGGCCGCGCTCCGGCAGCACCACGTCCTCCTGCGGCGTGGCAGTGACGGTTAACCGCTACTGACCTGGGGGCCACCGTTCCCCAGCGCAGCAGGCACCCGCCCCGTGCGTCAGAGCTGGTTCTGACTTAGGCCGGAGCCGGCGCGGCGGCGGTAGTGGCGTGGCGTCCATACAGCCTTCGTTCTCGTCGCCCTCAGCGCGACAGTACCCTTTTTCGAACATTTCGCTCGAGTACCGATAACTATCATGATAAATATAAATAAAATTGTTGTTATTGCTCAAAATAGTGCGCGAGAGAAAGACCTGACAGAACATTAGTGTTTTAATATTGTGATAACGGGACAGATATAGAACGATGAGAGCGTTTCCCTGAATGATGTGCTAGAATACGGGGTTAGTTCTCTTGTTGTGTGCAAATATTAAAAAGTAATTTTGACTGGGGTATTGCTGAGTGATGATTTCACCAATTTACAGTGTTAAGGAAAAAGACCAAATTCACTATGGCTCATTTTCCCCAAACGATGGGTTTTTGATCACTCAGCCACCTGCAGTTATACTTGTGTGCCTCTATTTGTATGTATATTGCCTAAAAGAGTGCCTAGAACAGAATAATTGATGTTCATGCTAGAGCATATAGCGTCCGATGCCACCGGGCTGAGACTCTCTGGAGTGTTAGTTTTGTCTCTCACAACACCAAAGAGTATTTAGACGAAATCATTTTATGCCGGGCTGATATTAAATTTAAGTATGGATACTGTTACTGCCCTCTAGATTATAACAGTTTATTAATAAAAGAGTGTTCTTTTATTCAGCAATCCCGACTGAGCATTTATGTAGATTTCTGCTTGAATGAGAACTGTGAGTTTTTTTCTCAGTCGTTATACCAGTCTCTACAAGTATACTGGTATGTTAATAACAGACTACTATTCACCTGTGATTTTCTTACAGGTTTTAAGTTAAGGTCTTGTTTCTTATACTCGTTTATATGCGGCTTACTGGGACTGAAATATTTTCATTACTTTCTGTTTATTCTGCCCCTTACACATGTATTTTTTTGTTTACTGAGATGCGATATTTTTGTGAAAAGCGTTGTGTCTAAAGTACTCAGGGCGATCAGAGAAACAAACATTACAGTAAAAGTTTAATTATGTCCTGTTGCTTGGTATTATTGAAAATCAAGGGTAATAAGGAGGGAGATCAGGTGTGCTTTCAATTTTAGTATTATATGTGTAATTGCAATTTATTGTGTTATTCGTCCAAAGCAGAGTATATTCTTGATTTAAGGATAGAATTTATGTTGGGCTGGTGACTGATTAACACGAATATATTTTTTTAACAGACACCGAACAGTCTGCACCAAGGTTGATCGGCATATGATGCCCGTGTCAGTATGGTTTGGACATCCATTTGTCTGCAGAATTCCAATAATAGTATTAAAATGGTCTGCAAGAGAATCCCACGTCATGCATTATTCTGGCTGGTTGGATAGAACATGTTTAAAGGTAACATTAATAGTACACTGGCAAAACAAACGTAACGTGCGTCACGTTTCTTGATGCACTCTCCAGGGAGAACGTTTCCTGATCCACTCTCCCTGTGATGCCCCTATCCTTTTGCATGGAGTGCAGTGCATCAAGAAACGTTCTCTTCTGAGGAGAGTGCATCACGAAACGTGATGCACGTCACGTTTGTTTTTCCTGTGTAGCGGTCTGTCTGAGTGATAAAATAGGTTGCCTATAAAAAGTTGCAGATGTGAATTACAATCAATAACGTGATTGACCATATCATCACCATCAATAATTTCTTTTTTGGCCAAGTAAAATAATGAATCATTGGAACGTTTTCTATTTCATTTTGCCCTCTCTAACTGTTAGCATCTCTGTAATTCAAATTACAAGAACGTGCAGGAACTTATAAGAGACTCACTGTAAATATGCAGAATTGTTTGAATGTAAAGTTACGTATAAGACCAACTGTTTCTCAAGGCAAATGGACGTATAAACTATTTCATAAGACTTTTGAGGGTTTGCTACGTTGGTCGAGAACAATAGTGTTCGAATGTGTTCATGCTCAATTACTATATTCATTCAAATTGAAATGCCTCTGAGTAGGATTTAACTTCATGAACGAAAAAAAAACAGTACGACGATGTCGGTACTACTAAATGAATGCTTGTTCTTCACCTTTGGAATTATGACGGTTTCAAGTTTGTAAATGTCAATCCCCCAAGAAGTTTTAAAAACTACCCGGCAAAAGCAATCTTGGCTGGGAGCACCATTAGAGTTTTCATGGGAGGATGGAGGTAAAGCAGAAGAAAAACCTACAATGTTAACAATCATTGAACCAAATTGTGCTAAGCATAGTTGATGTGGCAAGTGTTATAAATTGTTATTGTTATTCCTGTTGTTAATAATTTTCCCATAGGAAAATGCTTCTGTAACTGCTTACTTGACCATCAAAGCCAAACAGTGATTGTTCTGTTGATTACAAATTTGTTTATTGATTATGTGCCAAAATTGTAAAAACAAAATATATTTCTACGAAATAATGAGATTACAACAGAGTGTGTAGCTTATACGGCAGAGCTCAGTTTAAACATTTGTTTTCTTTCTCAAGGAATTGGATGAGGCAGAACATTGAGAACAATGTTTCGGATTAATATCTTAAATCTACTTGATAGAAATTTTTGACAGCATTTGCTCAGAATTTAAAACATTTTTATGTACTATGCCCAGTTTAGAAGTGGTCGTCTTCACGCTGGCGTGAGGTGGGTGAGTAGGAGGGAGAGGATGTGCATCCGAGGCAGACGAGAGAGCGGAGATGCAGCGGAGGTCGACAACCCCTCCACGCTTCCCCCGCTTTCCTACTCACCCACATCGTAAAAAGAACACTTGTTGAACTAGATATAGCAATGCAGTCATTCTATTAGCCATGTGGTATGTGATATTTGTCCTTGAGCGTTTTTAGGGTTGAAAATTAAAATATAAAACTTCAGAATGCAGAATTGTTGACATTCTATTTTAACGGCCTCATTTGAAATGTGAAAAGAAACACACGTATCAATCCCCCGCAACTAAATCAAGAATCTGAAAAAACTGCAAATAAAAAAATTGTTACAGAACAGTTAACATATTAAAACTAAACTAATAATTAGAGTTAAACGTTAGAAATTTAAATACTATGCTTAAGTAAAACTATAACTAAATAATAAATCGACAAATAAAAGATTTGCATGTTAACTAACAAATTTTATCACTGTTTGGCTGGTCTAGACAAACTGTTTGATAAGTTGCTAAAAAACACATATTTAAAAGAAAGGTGTCCTGTAGTGAAGTCCATACCTTAAAGTTACACAACTGTGCTCTTCGAAAGCATTGTTTATAACAATTTAAAATGTACAGCAAATAAAAAGATTGTGGTTGTGATCTTTCTCGGTGCTCTTATTCGACTGCGACCGTGGTTGGCGTCCCATTTAAGTAACCATGCGCGGGATATGTTCGAAAACAAACAGCATGAGTCAAACTAACGTTGGGAAGTCCATGAAGAATGCGCAGGAGTCAACATTTTTGGATGCTACATTCTGTAGTTGATCACAAAGGTTTTCAAACGTCTCCTCTTCAGAACAAAACCTTAAATTTTTGAATATAATTTTGACCTCTTTGTTTTCTTTGCTGCCAGCACTGTTGAAAGTGTTTTCAACATAAAAGTCACATGGCTGGATTGAAGCTTTGGGGAAAATTTTACTGATGGCACTAGCCTTTTGAATAGTCCTTGTCTATGACAAATATCCAAATTTGGTGTCTATTTCTTCGCTAATTGATTCCTTGAGAGCTTCTAAAAAAGAGGCGACTGTAACTTTCTCGTCATTGCTCGCATATGCTAATCCAGCAACTCTCCCAAGTCCCGCACCATGCCTTACCATTAATATTGCCACAGGCATACCATTTTCATCAATTTTCTATGTTGGTCTAGATGCCCCATCACACCATACTTCCGCACATTCTCTCTCATTTCTGTTTGGACAAAGAGTACTTGCACAATGCCGTCAGTGTCTTTCACTGTGTTGATTGCAACGCCCGAATTGACCACACATAAATCCAGCAGCGTATCTCACAGCACTTCGGACTCACTCCTTCCTCCCTTTTCTCGTCTCTGAAGAGCAGCCCTGTCAAAGCAATACGTAAGAATAAAAACCCAACCCCAACACATCTAACAGGAACACAACAAACGGAGTACTACAAATATCAAATGGTTGGACAGAAATAAAACAAGAGAAGACAAAACCATAGCTGCCAAGTTAGTCGGTGCCAGAAAAGCATATGTATTTACCTTTTGATTTGCACTATCCCGTGGCGTCATTCTGGCTCGGATCAACTTTCCTGTTTTCCGGGATATGATCGGCCTCCTCCTTAGTACGCCCATGGTGGCAGTGAAAGTCTTCAAGCTTAACAACCTCCAAACCATGCTTATAAGCTTTACACTGCATGAAAGCTGTACAACCAATTTTCCATGTCCTGCAAATGTTA